CCACTTGTTCTTTCCCTGTCACATTTCTCACATTCGCTGATTAATGCGAGCTGAGCAAAATGGACAATCAAAATCCAAACATAAACAGGAATTCGCAGATCCAAGTGTACAGACGTGGTCAAGAGCTTCTGGCACACATTAGCACGATGTAGACCCGCATACTCTCGGTCAACACAGGAAGTCTGCAGATCGAACACTTTGGAATCTTGGGTTTTCAAGTTTCTAGAATTCTAATTATTTTTCAGACGCTCTGTTTAGACGAAGGAAGTGAAGATGTCAAAAGAAGCAAATCGACGATGAGAATGAGAAATGGGTAAATGATCGCTGAAATCCAAATGAGATGTGGCGAGTGTCTCATATGCGAAGTGACGTAGCCAGCCGTCACTTCACTATGCAATAACTAACGCGTACTGCCGCTAGCCATCCGGATACATCGCGTAATAAGCAACCCTCCCACTGCACAATGTACTCTTCCTCTGCGGAGTTACAGCTACAAGGCGTCTTAAGCAATCTGTACATAATTTGCACTAGAACTACAGCATCGTGTTCTTACCATTCCAACCCGATGCAACTCAAATCGTACGACGCTAAAAATGTGACTGAACGGCTATATTCGACCGAAAGCTTGTAGGAAGTAGCAGATGCAGCTGTCCAAAGAGGAAATACGGACTGCTTTTTGCAGGCTTTCCACACTGCCGGTCAAAGTCATACTCCTACCCTTCAAACTACTCTCTGTTGCTTGAAGTCTCATACACTCAAACGACAAGAAATCCAAAATATCCCCTTAATCTTTTCCTCTCCTAACTTCCACGGTTGCTCTGCGTCAACGGACCCAGGGACCACTGCTGAATTTGCCTTGTTTCAGCAAAAGCTCCGTGAACTGCTCAATGCTTTTTTCCCTTTGTAAACTATAACTGGATTAACAGCACAAAGGAAACGGCACACACTGAACGGTTAGTACACCGATATTTCACGTGTCGCGCTCATTCGTTAGCCCACAAAAACATTACACTGGACGAATTTACCCACTGGCATGGGAGGGAGCGCCGCCCGGCTTTCCAGCACTTTCACATCCCGCACAATTTGCACAAGTGTTTTATACAAAGGAAGAGCGACAACTTTACAGTCACACTACGCATTTTGAAAGATAAGGGAGAGAGGGCAGGCAGAGCCACCCAAGCAAGAGCACATATTCTGCGCAGTTAGCCAAAATTAATTTTTTATAATTAAAATTATCAATGAAGAGGATATTGCAGCAAAAACCAGAAATGAACAACTCACACGGCGGAAGCTGGGAATACGCCATCCAGCACATAGAAGCAGCTCGCAAACGGGAGCAGCAGAACATACAATAACAAAAGCCAACGTAACATAATCAGCCTACTCGTTTGAAAAACGATGCACAAAAATCATCCTCGCATTTGCAGCGCACATACACACCCACACACACATTTAGGCACATGCATACATCCCCGAACATACATACACAGACACACATTAAACACGCCCATCCCCTCTATTTGAGAACTCTGTATTCTAGAAAACGAAAACACGTCGCCACACGGATACTGGCCATTAAGGCTGTACAGAGGAGGTACATGAAAAAAATACATGACCAACGAGGACACTTCAACGAATGCAAGAAGACGAGGTGTCAATTAGGAGGGAGTTGCTGCAAACCGACCTGACTCAGTTGCGCGAGTCCTCCTTCGGCACTGCCTTTATTAAGCGGATCTCGTTCACTGGTCGATTCTGCTCATCCGTATCAACCAATCCGATTTTTTGCACCGTCTGCAATGCATCACAGAGATCCAATCTTCAAGTTAACTTTTCCCGAAGGCCAATGAACTTCTAGGGCTAGAACTGAGGTAAACAAAAAGC